TAGTCGGTCCGAGGGGGGGTGTCAGGATTCCATCCCGTTTAGGTTTAGCGTCCCGACTTAGTCAGCCTATATATAGTTGGCCCCTGAGCCATCCTAATTGGACACTTGGCGCTTCCCGATTCTCTCACAGGTATCCCCGCATTTCCATATGACCACTTTAATGCTATCAACGAGAATTTTCTTTGTGGATGATCACATACTGACAATGGCATATAATTCTCATTCATCTGAAGAACCTGATTCGAAAATACAATGTCTTATTGTTTTTCAATGCACATATTCACTGGGGATGACAATGGTGATTGAGGAATGAGGATAATCCTGTATTCTGCTGACACAATAATACACCACTTCCCACCACATTGTGAGCTTTTACTCCACATATACTGTATTGAGTCATACATCATCCCTGTAATTAATGTCGACTCCGAAAAAAAAAAGAACGCGACCGCAGAAGACGACGAGGACAGGGCGACGAAGCAGAAGAATGGGTTGATTCACCTTTCACCACCAGATACAATGTCAATAGAGACAATCAATTGAGCAACACAAGATGAATTGAGACACGATCACACAAGTCCTTACAGCATGTACCTATATATACCCTCCTCTCCAGTTTCATCCCATCTCGTATCGAGTCCTCCATCAGCATCATCTCCTCATCGCATGACGAGTCGTCTGCTGCTGCTGCAATCAGATCATCATGGCGGTCCGATCGAGGTCGTCCCTGCGCTTCTCAGTGCGACGGGATGACAATGTCGCTGGTCATGATGACGAGGATCAGGATAACCACGACGACACTCTGCCATCTTCTCCTCCCCCTGCAAAGAGGCCTCGGCTTCAGCAGCAACAGCAGCAGCAACAGCAACACCGTCGTCAGCCACCTTCGTCCCGCCGTCGTAAGAGCTCTCCCGACTTACTTGATACTACTATCGAAAACTCCAGTCATCATGTTCCCCCGTCATCCAAAACTCCTCAGATCGTGCGACACGCTACTCACTCTCCTCTCCCTCCGCCGCCGCCGCCGCACTCATCTACGCGCCGACCACTTCCTCTCTCCGCTGTCGGCGACGGCGCATCCTCCTCATCCTCCTCCTCGTCGTCCAACTCCGCCCATGTTTCGCTTCCTGGCGCCCCGCACACTACGGGACAACCCAATGACCGCCATCGCACTCCGTTTTCAGCTTCTGCCGCGCTGTATATGCGTGGTGGTGGTCGCGAATCGCCAGATCCCTTAGATATCATCTCTCCTGGCCCTATCAAGACCAATGCGCCGCCTCGCAAGACACCTACTACGTCCACTCCAACCTCTACCACCCGTTCTACACGCCATTCTCGCCCGCAGCAATCTGTCGCATCAGACGCGGATGCGCAGAAGCCTCCTGGACAGACGAGCAGTCGGCGAAAACCCAACTCAAGCAATCCTCAGACAGAAACGCAATCGCGGCAAAAGCAGGAACCCTCCGATCACAGTCCAGCCGCACCGGAACAGCGCCGGTCGCTTCGTTCCAAGGACAGCAATTCGCGGTTGCGGAGCGAACTGGCATCGTATTTCTGGAACTATGAACAGATTCTGAGTTTGGAACCTCCGAAGACCGCGGAACTACTGACCGAGAATACCACGGTCAAGTTGATTGATGACCTGACCGAGCCTCTTACCACCATACAATCCTCTGCTTCCGACTCCGAGTCCCCATTTGGAAACCCTCTGTTGCAGCTCCATGACTGCGAAAAGGTATGTTTGCCGGAGCCGGAGCCGGAGCCGAGCTCAGCCGCCGCGTCCGGAAATGTCACTGAGGAAGACCCTCTCAATGAAGAATACTATTTCCGCGCCCACCGGAGAATGGAGCGGCAGGAGAAGCAGCTCCGAAACATTGAGCGCGAACGCGCCCAGCATGAGAAGATGCAGCTGGAGCGTCTATTAGACGAGCTCAAAGGTCAGGACTGGCTCCGTGTGATGGGTATCACTGGTGTCCACGAGCACGAGAAAAAACTCTACGAACCCAAACGCGACTATTTCATGAAAGAGATCTCAACCCTAATCGGAAAATTCCAGATCTGGAAAGAAGAGGAGAAACGCCGGAAGCTCGAGAAGGACAAGTCCTCGCTCCGTGCCGAGATATCGCCATCCAACGTCCCCACAAACAAAGACCGCACCACCACCTCCCGGAAGCGGAAACTCAGCGATCGAACCCCAGATATCACATCCGAGAAACCAACCACCAACGGCACAGCCTCCTCCGACGCCCCAAGCGACGGCGAAACCCCGGACCCAAGCGACGTGGACGCCTGGGCAGCGCACCAACTCCAGCAGGAAGCCCGGTCCGCGACGGCCGGCAAACGGACCAAACCATCGACAGAGTCCCCACGACGCCGCAAATCATCCGGCAACAACAACAAGTCCTCCACCGCACCGCACGCTCCCGCTCCCGCTCTCGCAAAACCAGCAACCCCTGCCCCTCCCGATAAACCCTTCGCCTCATTCTACGCAAAGCCACATCTGCGCGAGGCCGCGCTCTCGCCGCATCGCAAGGGCCGCGTCCGCTTGGCCTTCGGCCACCCCATCCCCAAGATGGAGGTGCGCGACTTCCAGCCGCCCGCGGATATCCTGACGCCTGAGGCGATCGATTCTTGCCGCAGGAAGCGGAGACGGATGAGAAGGGAGAGTCGCGGGTGAACTGCCCTTGTTCCATACCGGTCGTCGCTCTTCCATTGTTGTTTCAGTATTTCAGGTATCGATGGTGTTAAATAGGTCGGTGTTAACGGGATATCAGGTCTGGCGAATGGCCATGGGGGCATATCTAGCATTACTTGAGCGTTCAAGCATGTTGATATCTGATGTTACATTATCTTTAATCTTCGGTTCTCGGCCTGCGGGCGGGAGCAAATGTACTCGGTACGATTACTGACAACTCTTACTACGAGGAATAGGAAAGAATATCTGCAGAAACAAAGAGGTATCTCATGTCTATAGACATCGTAAGAATCGATATATACAAGGCAGCCGATGCCACTGCCCACAGACCCAAGCCCAAAGCTCATATATACACCCAACCAAAAACCAGGACGCCATGCAATGCAAGAAATGCCGCAAATAAAAGACTAAGCATTGTTCGCGCACGAGAAGCTCGCGCTGCTGGGGTTATCATGGATTGCCTTTCCGGACACGTACAATCCCAGACCACAGAGCACAGCGCCAAAGGCCACGCAGAAGAGATTGACGACTGTCAGGAACATTTTGCGCGGGGAGGACGACCACTTGCCCCAGTTGAGGTGGAGCCAGAAGATACCACTGAGGCCGTAGGTGAACCAAGAGGCGAAGAGGGCAGTCTAAAGATGAATGGGTCAGCAATTGCGGTTAAGGGCGAAAGGAGGGGAAGAGGCTTACGATTAAACTCAACAGATTGCTGAAGACGGGAATGGCTTCAGCGATGATCCAGGCGACGATCCAGAGGGAGAGGGCGATGCCGACCCAGGAGCTGACGGCGACCCAGTCGCGCTTATGCATGCGGTCTGTGCCGGCGAAGATGCGGATGTAGACGTATTTGAAAGCGATGTGGCCGTTAATGACGCCTGCGATGATAATCTGAGCAGGATTAGCACTGGGGTCTGTTTTCAAATGCTTGTGTGGACGTACAGTAGGCAAAGCAATGCCGTAGGCTACCTTGGAGACCACGGAGCTGGCCGAACCAAGGGCGGGTGAAGACACGTTTGCGCCGCCGTAGACGTAGATGACGATGGCGGCGAGGATATAAAGGCAAATATCGACGCTCTGCAGCAGCATCAGGGCCTTCGGGTAGTCGCGGGGATCTTTCAATTCGGCCATGAGACCGAAGTAGGCGGCGTGTCCGGCTGCGAGTCGGTTAGTCGGGTGGAATTTAAAGATTAAGGTCCGAAAAGGAAACTCACAGAAAGCAAAGACGATGTTAGTGACGGCGGAGAACCCATGGACCAAGTCCGTGTCGACAGTCGCCATGACCTTTTCACCGGAGTGCTTGATGCCTACGCCGATGATGCAAATAATCACCGCGGAAATGATACTGGTAAAAGCTAGATTGAAGGTTAGCAACCAGATTCGGAGGCAGACAGGAGGTCATCTTACAAACTAGAGAGAGCCAGGACATCTTCGCCAGTGTCCGAGGCAAGGACAGGATGAACGAAACAACCATGCCCACCACACCAAAAACAATTGAGCAGGTACCGTGGTTCGTGATCGTATTCATGGCAATCACAAAGGTGAGAAGATGACTAGCCATGACGAAGACCAGGAATAGCAGCTGGGCTGCTCCAAGAATCTCACGACCCCAACTGCCAAAGAGCACCTCGCCCGCATCACTCATGTTACTAATATGAGTGTAACGAAATTTGAACTGCCCGATCACGTACCCCGTGTAGCTAGATACAATACCCAGACTAACCAGAAGAATGATAGAACTAGGGCAAAATCAGCGATGGATCGAATCGGAAGCTCAAAACGTGGTCAACGTACGAAATCAGGCCCAGACCGGCGACAGCAGCAGGCAGCGACAGAACGCCCAGAGACACAGTTTCGGCAACCATCAGCAAACCACATTGCCTATGAATGGAGAGGTGTCAGATGATAGTCATCCTAACAATCGAGCAGACAGAATATCAATACGTACCACCACTCCATGACCTTATACTTCACCTCCGCATTCGACTCATCGCCAAAAGCATCCTGCCTGTAGGCAGGTGTGGTGTCATACTTCTTCTCATCCTCCGCCATAGATACATCATCGCTAGCAATGCCCTTCTCTTGTGGGTTCTCCAGGTCGGATACAGGAGGAACATCGACGATCTGAGTCATGATGGCCGGTTTTTTTCCCTGACCTGATGAATGAACAACAGCTTCTTCCTCAACCCGAAACAACAAGTGGTAAAATCTTGCAACGGAATATGAAAGAATAGAAACACTCTAGTCCTCCAATGGTTCGAGTTGAAGGAACGACTGTACAAAGAACAACCTGTTGAGAGGAAGTTTCGACGGGGAAAAGAACGGAGGAGCTAGGAAGATAAAGAGACAAATACGCGACGACGTAGATTCCGTCTCGCCTCGGATGTTATAAATTCATCTCGTCCCTGCTGGCCAGACTGAAACTCTGACTCTGACTCTAACTCAGGCCGTTCGACGGGAGTGGAACCGCAGGTTTCCATGTTCCATTCCATGATGCTTGAGCCTTGCCCGCCACCGGCGAAGATCGCGTGGTTGCAGTGGGCCGGCAGAGATCCCACACGGACCGAGCAGAACGAATCATGGATTAGGAACGTAACAAAAACTGTTCGCAACGGGGGCGTCAAACCCAGAAGACCGCGAAAAAGATCCGCTGTGGACCTGGGGAAGATGAAAAATAAAACACGAGGCTATCCGATGTCGGTCTGCAGTTGCACTCTGCAGGAAGAGAGCTCTCAAGGCACAGGATTAGAAGTTGCGAGAGCTTTACACACGGAAAGAATCAATAAAAACTGAAGAAGTCAGAGATCGGTTACCGATGGATAGGATCTAGGTTGGAGATAAGAATGACACTAGAGGAAGCAGCAGTCGAATGAACTGCTCGCGTCTTCGTTGTCAGGGTCTAACTGCAGCCAGCGCCGATCAGGACAGGACAGGACAGGACATTATGCCCAGCATCTTGATTAAGTAATGGCAGCTAACTAGTTAACTAGTTATGGCTGTTCTTACTTAAGCCTTTTCCTCTTCCGACACACCGGAGTCTACGCGAGTCACTGTACAGTCGGAATTTTTTTGAATTATTGAGTCATTTTGACTATCAGGACTCCAATTAATCAGCATCCATTCAGATCTGCCAGCACAGTATTCCTGCAGAATCAATGAATGAATGAATGACCTCTTGGATTTATGCAGCCCAATGCAGATCTGCCGTAGGGCGCTAGAGATTTAGGTTACGCCTTAGTCATCCATCATCATCCATTTCTGCTTGTGATGAAGAGGGATGAAGAGCTATCTACTATGGGCAGATTACGGAGTACACCGGGTGGCTTCAAACGGAATTGGAATTGCTCTAAAGGCACAGTGGTCGAATAACGAACTCGACAAGTCGAATTGGCCTGTTCAATCGGGTAATCTACACGATTTACCAGGACTTCGGATACGACCTACCGCAGATTCATGCAATGCGTCGATCAAATATATGGCTACAGACGGATATTCTGGTCGGAATTGACATGAATTCTCCCTAACCCGTGTCTAGAATCTAAATGTCAACCCCGGACCCCGGATCCAGAACCCCAGTTTTGTCCATTCTCCAGACATCATTTCCCGATTTCGATGGTCCCACTGCTTCCATTTTCCGATAGTGCGAGGAGGGGACCTGGAGTCTCTGGAGAAAATGGAGTCAATCCACTCTCTGGCAACCACGCAACAGCAATTTGAATGGACATTGTAATAGTCATTACTAAATAGATATCAACCCCCACCTGGCCGAATGGTGTGAGATCATCGCCCTCAGCATCTCGAAGCACGAGTGTGGAGATTCTCCCTCAGTTACTGCGTATTGACTCGGATTCTCGAGTGGAGAAGATAGACGTTTACCTGACTATCCTCGACGAGGTAGTTTCTGAAATTGCCGTCAGTTCGGCGAACATCAACCATCCCGCGTAGGAGGTGAGCGAGACAAGCCTCGGATGAGAATCTGACAGCTCGGGTTCGGTTGTTCACGGCTCTTTACGTTTCGGCGATGATCATCCGGTTTCGGTTGGACTATCTAGATCAGGTTGGGAACTTCCACACTTACTTGTGTGCATGATTCATGGGGATCTCGATATGACTGGAATAGTTGTGAGCAAGGTCTGTGTTTGAGCCAACGGTCTCAAGACTATCCAAGTGACACGTCTGGTCATCCCCTTTTCATTTCTCAAAACTGGTCATTGACGGACTCAGTCTACGATGTGCTGCGGAAACTATGGCAGACGAAGACCCCAGGTCTTCGTGCAGAGGGACTGCGGTTTATCCTATGCGAACATAGCCTCACACTGACTCAAGGACCTTGATCTTGATCATCCTCTTGTTGTCGAATTATTGACTCTGGAGCATTTGTATGTTGCACCTCACAATTGAGGACACCAACAGATTTATATCTTGATTTGCAACTGCTTGATCATTTCGAGGAGTTCTTTGGGTCCGACGCCGTAGTCTGGCATCAGCCTTTGCTGCTCACAAAGCACCATCTGGGGTCGTCATATTCTGAACACGCATTGTCGAAGAAAGAGATACCCAAGACTGTTGCGAACAGACCACAAAGTCAATACTTACCTCTATTTACGTCTTCAGACGCATCAAGAGTGTCAATCGACGAAAATCGGAATCCAGAATGATCCAGGTGCTTCGAGTGCTTATGTGTCACAGAAGCGACGATGACACAGTGATGACTCCTCTGATACGGTCTGGCTTTTCTCAAGGTGAGTGTTGAATTGATGCATCAACCGCCTGCATAATGGGCTGATGCGTGACCCCCCACACATCAAAGCGTTTGCGGGGTTGTCACTTATCACATCCTGACTCCATACATCCCCGTGACGGACAATTGCAGTTTTTCAGTCAATTTCAAGCATGCCCACACAGTCACTCAGAAAGAACTTGAGAAATGAATCGTTCAACATAGGACAGGATTTCCGTGCAGAGTTTGGGCAAACTGCACCGCATCCAATTTCTTTCCCTCTCAAAAATTGGTACGCGGAGTGTCGGCCGCATGTCCGACTTGCTTGGCTGGCTTACCTAGGCGATATAGCCGCGATAACCTAACAGTAATAGTAACCATAATGACTCAGGTGAGAGGGGCACGAGGAGCGACACCGACTGACCATGCATATTTAATCGTCAGTACTGCCAGCAATGGCCGTGAACCCTCTCGCGACGCCATTGCAGGCTAGAACCTTCAGTAGACCATGGACACGGAAACCCAGAATGACAGCAGCTCACAGGATGTGGAAAACTCGTCCTCGAAGGATTCTTCTTTCTTCACTCAGAAAGATGCTAGCCAGGTAGTCGGCAGAGTGATCAGCACCAATTATGCGGTGATGATGGCCGGTTTGAACGGTACGTCGTTGCTCACGTCTGGTGCGTGAGAAGGATACGGTCTAATCTCAATATACAGACGCTGCCACCGGTGTGCTCATTCCATATATTCAGCCCGCATATGATATTGGCCTGCTGAAAGTGTCCATGGTCTATCTGGTCAATTTCGCCGGATGGCTAGTGGCATCTTTCGCCAACATCCACGTCTGCTCGAGACTGGGAAGCGGCGGGACACTGGTTGTCGGAGCCACGGTCCAGTGCTTCGGGTACGCGCTCATGTTCTGGAAACCTCCATATCCTCTGTTCATGACTGCTTTCTTCTTCACCGGCATGGGTGTCGCTTTTCAAGATGCACAAGCGAATACCTTCACGATCACGGTCAAGAACGCCCATCGATGGCTCGGCATTCTCCATGCTATTTATGGAGTCGGCACGATTATCGCGCCGCTGATCGCTAATACAATCGCCTCTCGAACACCGTACTGGCACTATTACTACCTCACGACGTTTGTTTTGGGGATACTCAACATCGTCCTCCTGGCTTGGACGTTTCGGAAGGGTCTATTTAGGCCAAATGTGTCCAATGCCAAAGACACGGCGAGTGCTGAAATGAAGGCCACCCTAACCAATAAAGTGGTCTGGATCTTCAATGGCTTCTTCTTCCTATACGTCGGTGCTGAAGTAGCTTCGGGAGGTGTGTAGCTGATTTGTCATCACCGTCTGCTTGTAGAAGACTAATATTAGAGCACCCAGGCTGGCTGGTCCAATTCCTCGTCTCTGTCAGACACGGAGATCCCAAGAGAGTAGGCTATGTGGCCTCCGGGTTCTGGACCGGGTTCACCCTCGGACGAGTCCTTCTCGCAGACATCACACACAAACTCGGTGAGCGTCGGATGGTGTTTGTCTATATCGCGCTCGCCATAGCGTTACAGGTCATGTTCTGGCTGATACCGAACATTATCGCAAACGCAGTCACCGTTTGTCTTCTGGGTGGGTAGCTCTTACGAGTCGACTGGTTCCGTCATCATTGAGACGGTGGCTGACATGATCAAAGGGTTTTTCATCGGCCCATTCTACCCTGTCGGACTATACGTCCTAACGAAAGTCATTCCACAGGACCTTCATATCGGCGCCTTAGGTAGGTCATCTCGATCTCGCCGAATATTTCCTCTTCGCTGCTTTTGAATCCGTGGTGCTGATTTTTCATGTTTATAGGCTTTACAGCCAGCTTGGGACAAGCTGGATCGGCTGCATTCCCCTTCATGACTGGAGCAATCGCCTCAAAGGCAGGGGTACAGGTCATGCAGCCGATCATGGTTGGATTATTGGTCGGGATTGGGATATTCTGGGCTCTGCTCCCCAAGGCAGAGGTCACTCAAGCTGGAGAAATAAATCGTGCCGCTCACAAGGAAATGAGATTGGGGTCGAAATCAGGAAAACTTACAATTACCCTTCATGTTCGGAATAAGTAAAAGTGTCCATGATACAGTAACCATGGCTGATAAATCTGACGACAAGCTGACCCACTGATCAACTGAGAAAAGTTGCCTTAGCAAAAGTTACCAAAAAAAGAGAAAAAATACACTACTGAGTGATACACCATATAGCTCGCATACTACATGCTGCATAATAACTATGTAGCACAAAGGCAATTGCGCATTGTGGAGCAATGGTGATGCATACACTACATTTATTTGTTCCAACTACCCATCCTCTCCAATGTCTCCATCTCACTCACCCCTTCCAAAATATGATCTAGTCTATCCTTCTCAGAAGGAGATAACACTGAAACTCCGCGCCATGCCGTCAATCAAGTCAAAGTAGGATTGAGTGCTGCGAGACATGTGCGTTCTCGAGCAAGGCAGATGGAAACTAGGAGGACTGCCCAGTCAGCAAGCATACTCTTCACTGTCTACCCTCAGCAGGTTGGAGAGAGCAAGCAATAGCGTGAAATGACGGCTGCAACAATGATTTAACTCCCCAAATGTGCAGGCAAGATATGCCGAGAGCAATGCAAAAATCAAAAAGGAATGGGACGACCCGGGATCGAACCGGGGACCTTCAGATTTGCCTAAGCTGACGAAGTTAACTTCAGTCTGACGCTCTCCCAACTGAGCCATCGTCCCAATAGATGAGTAAGAGGCGGAACTTAGTGTTCTATGGACAAATGAGGTATCCTGAGACGGCAGCAAGAAAAAAAAAAAGATTATTGGACTGATTTTGGAGCCAGGGAAGATGAGTGCTCGGTCTGCATGGGGTATAAAATGACCATGGGAGCGGGTAAAAACAAAAAGTAATGGGACGACCCGGGATCGAACCGGGGACCTTCAGATTATCTGGTTGCTGAAGTTATCTTCAGTCTGACGCTCTCCCAACTGAGCCATCGTCCCAATTGATAAGTTTGGGTTATGGTTTTTGAATACATAAAGAAAAAGAAAACTATCTTTGTATTTTCTGTGTGGGGTGATGAGCATTTGAAATGTTTGGGTTATACCTATGTCAATCTCTTCCTCTATCTGCTTGGGGTTTCCGTGGTAGGTGGTGTGTCCAAGTGAATTCAGCTGGGTCTAGACTTTTGTCAACCTGCTGAAGCCGAGTCTGAGCCCGAAGGAGTGGTGACTGGTGAATCTCTCTGTTTGCTGTGTGCGAGCATTGTTCTGATTGGTGTGGTGCTGCTATTTATTTATCAGGCATCTAATATGAGCATTGGTTAATTGTCAGGGTGTGACGTCTCAGTCTTCATAAGCTATTGCTGGTTATATATGCTGCTGGGTTAGAAGGACGGGTCTATATATATTGCGCAGCATTGTCTACGCGAGCAATGAAATATGCAGTCAACATGACTAAAACCCCAGTGGTCTGGACAGGATAATGAGATAAACAGCCTAGTGGATAAATAGCATGAACCCTAAGCTATATACTATTAAGCCGATGTACTGCAGACTACTACTCATGCATGCTATTACTCTATATATCCTGCAACTGCAACTAACAACCAGACACACATACAAGGGCAGACGCTTGGGTCTAGAGATAAATATATTTCAAGATCACCTGTACGAGAGGTAAATAAACCATGAATGAGAACACACATGGTTCACTGTGCCGACTGATTACTAAGTCATCATGCTTGTTTGAATAGAAACGAGCGTCTTCCCAATGGAGGATTAAGGCATCGAGCTATTAGATCATAGTTATAAATAGCCCAAGCTTACTTCATCTAATGGGACGATGGCTCAGTTGGGAGAGCGTCAGACTGAAGTCCACTTCGTCAGCTTAGGCAATCTGAAGGTCCCCGGTTCGATCCCGGGTCGTCCCATTACTTTTTGTCGATATGTTCCCATCATAACATTTTTTTTGTTTATGTCCACCCACTCAATCACCACTGACTGGATCAGTGGGTAGTATCTGAGCTGGGTCCAGACCGCGCCCAGCTCGGCAGAGTGTTCGTGGTGCTATATAGGCTGTTATATGTATCACCATTATGCAACCTTCTGATCTATCCGGCCCACGGTGCGCCAGAATCGCATGCAGCAGATCCAATTTCACCACATATGTCCCCAAAGGATCATTATTTACTGCCGCAAGTTCGTCGTGCCTGCCTGAAGGACAAGTACATTACCCACAATTCTATTATCAGTTTGTACCTTGGCAAACAGCACCAAGAGCCTCTCTGGCGTCGGCTATGACCTCGTCCAGCGATGAAACGGCAGCTCAAGTCTGGTCCAGCCATTATTGCGTCTTTCAACCACGACGACGTGCCCAGCCTTGTCTGTTGCCTGCGAAATTTAGTATTCCTCGGCGTGGACAGCAAATCCAACCAGTGCCTAGGTAGTAATGTATAGCTGCCTGCCGGATGAACACTCGGATCATTGCAAGCTCTTTGTAGCTCTCCTGAACATTTCCGCTGATTGGGTAGATTCGAGGAAGGGATTGCTTGCCGATATTCGGCTTCTGCTCCCCAAACGTTCAGCCAAATTCTAAATGACTCGGTCAATTAGTGTGACAGTTCTTAACAACAACATCAAAGAGAGAATCGGCCGCGAGAATAGCAATGTCAGAGAGAAGATTAAAGTCGTCAGAGTCTTACACACCCGAAGATGGTATGACAATCCGACTAAGGATGACTGATACATAGGTTTCATCATAGAAAGGAAAGCGAGTATGCATAAACAGGGGCACTCACGTGAATTTATCGAATCACAGTCGCCAAATTCCATTGAATGTATACGCTGAGCGGCGATGACGAACAAAACTGGCATGAGGAATGTCAAGGTCGAAAGCAAGCCGTTGCAGAATGTCATATGACTGTTTACCCACGCAAGGCGTTCTCAATCATCGTAGGATATGATTCTGCGTCCAGCAAAGTGCGAGCCACGCGCATGTGCTTCCCACTGTGCTGTAGTATCTCCATCGTGATCAAGTCCCCCTCGTAAGCTTGCCTCTTCTGACCGCTTCATTATCGACGAATCCTGCGCCTCATTTGGCTCCAAGCCAGTGCCCTCTTTCGCCTCAGGCATCTTCTCCTGTTGACCGTCCGGAATGCCAGAGGGCGTATCTTCTTGACCTTCAGCAGCAACACCCCCAGAAACCTGCCTCACAGGCGTTAACTCACGGGCCTCTTCAGCCAGCTCCTCCTCTCGTAGTTGCTTCTCGCGAAGTAGTGAGTGGATTTCACTGTGTCTGAAAATTCGGATCTGCTCGTCCGTGAGAGTACGCTTCACGCCATCTGGGTAGTAGCCGAGACCGTCATCATAATCAACCTCTTCATCTACAGTCTCGCTATAGGTGTAGTCGAGCGATGTGATTTGTTGACTACTGGGGAAATGCTTCGCTTGGAAGGCCTGCAAATCTTCCTGGGATTAGGGAGACCATTAGTTTCTAGCATGGATATCATCAACTTAGGGCGAACTCACTATTGTGATGGACGGTATCTGTAGACTCGACATCATGGTGGAGGTGTGCACATGCAGACCTCTTGATTTTCAGGAGTTGAGTGTGGAAGAAGGATAAGCGCGGGGTGACGTGTTAGCATCAGTGGAAGATGGTTACGCGACTTAGGTTAGTATAATTACGGTATCGTACTACGCGGTACAGGGCCTGGTGCCTCAGGTACCTTGCCCATATCTAGACCGCCATACACAGTTTAGGGCTCGCAAGGCGTACTCTGTAGTAAGGTAGGTTCTTTCGGTGCTGTTTGCTATAAGCTTTGAAGTTGATATCGTATAACAGTTATGGAAGACCAAGGGACTACTAATTGAGGAACGGTATTACTTTTTCTCTAAAAAGGCAGGCCAAGCATATATTATTCAATCCTCACCAATTTACGCTTCGAGCGTATCGTTCACACATTCGAAAGTGGTATGCTCGAGATAGTGTTCCCAATTTTGGCCTTTACACAGTCAAAGTGAATGATCAGACTTCGTAAGCCGCGAAGATCCATAGCCTCAATTTCCTTCTTCTGCTCCGGCGTTGGTTCTGTCAAGCTCCAGGCGAGGGAGACATGGAAACAGTGAGAAAGGTCTTCGGGCTGTGTATCTGGTTTGATGCTTTCAAGTCGTCCATGCATGTGAATTGGCTCAGTCGACCTATCTGCATACAGCGGTGGTTGGTCAAAGTGAGCTAAGGAGCGGTTTGCCAAGGCGAGGAGACGGTTCAAGTTATCATTAGCGGGCTTTGTCACCCGTAGGACGAGGAACCACCGCGTCTTTTCGTAGTTGGAAACCCAGTCGAGGCTATAAGGGTTGATAGAGAATCTGGGTGGTCTGTTAACAACCTGACCGTCTATAAGAGAAGCATGAAATACTCACGCAGGGACTATAGAATCTTGAAGAGCCCTTTGAAACATATCCATGAAAGGCTGCCTCTGTTCAGTGCGAAGAACCACTGGTCTGGAGAGACTGATATGAAGCGGAAGCTGGACACCAAGATCACTTCTTAATAAGCTATGAATTTCTCTTGCGTGCCCTCCTAACTTGACTTCGGCTTGTGATAAGATACCATCTAAGACAGTGAGTTCTCCTTTCGACGGATACCCTGTCCAATTCAGTCACCTTCCGTAGATTCTAGGCATGAAACTCACACTCTAGGTATATATGGGTAGGCCAGTTCCCTTCAACATGGGGAATGACACGCTTACGGCCTCCGTGAAGACTGGGGTCGTCTCTTACACTCACGCGAGTGCTCGAGGCATACAGATCATGAAATGCAGGCGGTAGTGGGGGTAGAGATGGCACTCGATCATCGACGATAGAACTGTTGCGACGGGGTTTCTTGGCTGGTCTGGGTAATTTCTCCTCACTCTCTTCTGTATCCGACTCTGTATCAGAGTATTGCACCAAAGCCATTGCGGCACTGGGTATGGGTTGAGGCCAAGAAGACCGGTTTGAAGAAAGAGCAGGTTTCAAATTACTGTAATGGTATTACTGTTTCTCACTCGGTAAGAATGCTCTCGTCAACATGATTTTTCCGCGGTGTCAGCTTCTCCTTCCAACACAGTCGGTTTTATTCTCCCATCATATGTTGTCAATTGTTTCTGAATATGGTCTCTATGCTTATTTTGCCAAAGTAGATTGTTATCAAGGGTGGTGTATGATGTATCAAGTCGAAGTGTGGAAAAACCACAAATGAGTCCACGATTACACAAAAAGAGAGAGGGAAAAAAAGCCTCGCATTTGGAGTAGGAGAATACATAATTGAAGGGTCATGGATTCATGCTCTGAGACTATAGTTAGACGTGCACTTCCTGTCTACAGATTATACAGCGAGCAAGCGTTGTAATACTGCTTGATGGGTGTTCATATTTAAGTGACCTGATGCCCTGTGATGAATGTTGTTCTAGAACGAGTGAGCCCCTGTCATAGAAGTGTGGGGTAATGGGTAGCATTGAAGTCGAAACGTTGCAGATTTTTCCACAATCCATGACGCTCTTTTGGCCGCAAGTCTCTGGAGGCTAGACCACATCTTTCAAATAGGCCTGATAATAAACTTTATCTAGAACCCAGGTAACCGTAAGATTCATGGGTGAGTGCTCTCTGTCCAAGTCGCTCTGCTTTCCGTTTCGACTTAGTCTATCTGCACTTTGCCTACTCCGTAGATACAACAAGCCTTACTAGTTAGTAGTGCACTCTTAAGCGCTGACGCTACGTTCAGACTAACAAGAAGCTTAATCTTTGCAATAAATCTAACAAATGAAGTCCTTGAGATTAATATTAGCAATGCATATTTCCCTCATTGACTGCTTAATGCCTTATTTAAGCCGAATGAGAAGAACAGATTGTAGGGTACAGACAAAATCTTGTGCCTGTGCCTGTCATCTGTGAGATTTCTCATACGACCACGCAACGTCATAGGACTCGTTCTATGAGATTCTGACAGCCAACCTAGAACATGATCTTCGACAGGAGATCATTGAGTCATATTCAGGCACTCGAACGTAATTTCATCGAAATCCATGGATCGACGGGAGCGTCGGAAGGCCTTTTGAGGCGAATTTTGCGCGGGTTCTCGTGGTTGATCATCAGTTTCATCATCGAGTCCCGCGGCCGATGCAACCGAATGGGTCTAGTCATTCGGCAAGACCCATACACTAGACTAAATAAGGTATAATCCCTGAACACTAAGCCCAAGAGGGAGGGGTGGGCCTCTTATCGATAAGCCCCAGGACCCTTGGGCATGTACGCAAGTCAGTCACGTCACTCTTGGTCGTACACTTCGTAGAGTGTAGAAAGTCTTTTCGCCCTTTTCTACATCTTCTACGTACTCTTTCTGTGTCTCTAATCCTTTCCTCGAACGTGCTTCTTGTGCCTCAACTTTTGAGCTAACAATTGCCAATAATCATCTTCTCTTTGCTTCGAAACACCGCTATTTCGCTCGATCACATTTTCAGACCCCAATCGGACCGTCAGCCCCACATCAACAGAAAGTATCGGTAAGATTACATTCAATAGTGCACAGGAGCACAGGTACTATTAGACACCTGCGTCTCTGTCCAAGCCAGGAAATTCCAGAGATTAATAGCCAGAGAAGATTTCTTTTCCTGAGCACTTCTCTATCGTCTCCCTCAAAGTCAAACAAATATGGCGTCTTCCGGCGACACCATGTATATGGCTTCGTATCCTCCTCACCAACCCCAGAATCAGCCTCATCACTATCCCGTGAACGTCGATATGGCCAGGGGTTTGGGTAGCAACAACCCCTACCATCGCTACATCTCTCCTTCTCCTACTCCTTCTCCTACTCCTTCTCCCTCTTCGTCCACTTCGACTCTCAACTCTCTCAGTTCTCAACGCTCGTCTTCTCTGCCTTCGGTCTACTGGTCTGGTGAACTCGAACACCAGCCAGTAGAGCCAAGGAGAAGACGTAACCTTCCAACGTATCACCATAGGTACGCTCAAGGCAACCGCAATCGCGCCAGTTACCCACGCGGATCGCTTCTTGTCAATCCAGATGTCATTGATCGCCTGGACACTGCGGGTGTCTTCCATTACCACCATGAGAGCCCATACGACGCCGTCTACGCGGAAAGAAATCACGACGCCAAAACCAGCCCGATTGCAGCTCTCGAAAAATCCACCGAGGAGGCTCTCAAAGCGACGCCAAAGGACAAGATCGCCGATTGTCTCAACAGCCATCGCCCCTTGGATGGAGTCGCATTCTATCCTCCTGGAACTACAGACAAGGAAGGACGAACCTACGAGTACGAGGAGGGCACCAACATGATGAACGACTATGGCAATTTCGTTCGCTTCCCAGGCCTGGTAAGTCGCCTCGATGCTTATTCGTAATCAAACTTTAAAAGTACTGATTGATCTGTTAGAAATTTACCGAAGAAGACTTCAGAAAGGATCCATTCTACAACGGCCCGCTTCCAAAGCCGTTCGAAATTATCCGCAAAGCATTCAGCCGTCATTGTCGCAGTTGGAAGCGCAGTAAAACCGCCTGAGTGTCGAGCAATCAACAGCCTGCCTGCAGGGCACTGCCACTATTATTGAATGCACCGCTTCTTCGCTGTCATAATTGCAGAAGAACAGTCAAAAAGCGAAACGATCAACAACCTGCCAGCGGAGTGCTATTATCATCCCCCAACATTGTCAGTCTTCACCATTGCAAAGGCAGGTTTATATGGTTAGCGACAACAATCGACAATCCATCGTTACTCGACCTAATGTATGATTTCATGACTCGGAATATACGACGCGAAACCTACGCCATTACGAATATATACCCGGTAGATAGGTGCAATTTTACGAGACGAGGGTTTTTTCTATGCCTACTTTGAGCCTTTCCCCCCTCAATGATGTCTCACCTGTCCGACAGTTTCAGCAAACGGAGAAAATCGCGAGTTGAGGGCTTTTCATTGAGCGGTAAATGCAATTTCGGGGTTGGGAAGAGATACCCGGAGTTTTGGGCGCAATTTGGGATCATGTAACAAGGGTTTTTTTATGCCGCATGAGCTTTTCCCCCTTCTTCCTTCATGTATGGCTTGCTATATCTGATGGGCTTTTTGGGGTCGGTTAATCCTGGGGTTAAGGTTCTTTGGGATTCAATAGTTTTCGGGCAATGGGTTACTCATGTACTGCTGCAATGAAAGGCACAGGCTCAAGTTTCGTGCTTCTACCAAATCAAACAAATGGTTCAAAGCCAACTCTTCTTCCCACTCTTCCTGGTAGCTCCTAGAATTCAATAGACAGCCATAGGCTTAGCCCCAAACATGTAGATTTGGTCGAACACCGGTACTTTAACCAAACCCTGGTAAGGCGACTGTCAAGTCGTGCTATGACTTGCCACATCCTGATCGGTGTCTGTTGCCTCTCTGCTAAAGCAGCTTGTTTAGTTCTTGCGTCATGTCCGTCAGTCTGATATCAAACCGCCCCAATACTAGCAGGAGAGCTACTCATACATAAATGGCATGGCCTTGAAATGCCTTTAGACGAATAAAAGTATGCCTTACTGCATGAGGTTCTCTCTTCAATATCACTTGCATTCTTCACTACCAAATCTGCGGCGATACATAGGAGTTTCTCAAACAACCATGACTGCAGTTCAGCCCCATACTCTGCATAGCCTGGGACCGGTTCACCCACCCAAAGTCGAGAAGAGGGCTATCAAACCCTCGATCGCGAGACATGTCAACATTCACGTCAACGATCCGCTCGATCATGACGCACCGGCCATTCTACACGAACCTCGCAGCTACAGCGTCGTCGAGTCCAAGGGGTCGGCAGTCGTATTGGTCAGCGGTGCGGGTGGAGGAGTCAGTGGGCCCGCCGGTATCTTATCTCTAGGAACCCATTGCCACGATGTTTGATACGTAGTACTTTGTTCTACGGAAGATCGGCAATTAACTGCGCTGTACTGTGTAGGTATCTATCCTTCTCTGGCGGATAAACTCGCCCTACTACTTGGCATCCCCTGCATCCGACTCGACTACCGCCATCCAGCGAGGACGGAGTACTGCGCCGCCGACATCGTCGCCTCGTTCACCTACCTGCGGGAGCACTTCAATTCATCGAGCTTCGTCCTCGTCGGCTGGTCCTTCGGCGGGAGTCCCTGCTTCACCGTTGCGGCTCAGGAGCCCGAGCGTGTCCGCGGCGTGGCTACCGTTGCGTCGCAGACGGCGCAGACATCCGGGATCAGAAAACTGAGTCCGCGACCGGTGCTCTTGCTGCACGGGACCGATGATATGGTGCTTTCGGCGGCATGCTCGGAGACTCTGTACAAGGAGTATGGGAATAAGGGGCCCAGGGAGTTGAAGCTGCTCCCCGGGGATGACCATGGACTCACGCACCATGCGTCTGAAGTGGAAAGGATGATCTTTGAATTTGCTGCTAAAACGCTGGGATTTGAGAAGCTGTTGAATCAGCCCACGTTGGATCAGGCTGGAGAGGATCTGGTTGAGAGTCGGGATGAGAGGGTCAGAGAGATGCATGAAGGGCATGATCTTGAGGGCGGCGAGAGGTTGGATTACTAGTGGTAAGGAAGAGATGCTTGATCATTTCCCCCTTCCTGAGTGCATGCATGTATGTAGGTATTGTTCTTTGTTGGTGTTTGATGAATAGCGAGGTTTTAGAATGGCCTGATCTTGACCCGTTGGAGCGAGCCTCTACCAGGTCAGTTATAAGAATTGACTTAAACCAATGGAAATATCCGTAGTGTCAAATAAAAGCTCATAAAATGAACTAGACACAAAGTAGATAGACATTACTTCGGACTGCGTGGCGTGGGACATTCCATGCCGTCGATAGTGATCATCCGATTATTGCGGTGGCGGAACCACGCGCAAAGGAAGGGCCAGCTTGTCCACTTCTCAATAATCGTTATTGAGGACTCGAACATACCACGCTGTAAATAGTGGCTATCTTTCTTTCAATCTCACAGTATAGATTCATATTTCTCTTTTACTCTTCTTCCATACTCATTGCATAGCACTGGATTTCTTGTGCCTTCATCATTGCCTCCCAGTTTTCGAGTCTCTTTGGCTTTTGTCTTTATCTTGATTGATAATCCTTGAAGAGGCCCACTTGACTGTTTTCATGTAGAGGGCCACAAAGCAACTGATCATCATTTTCATCACTCCTTTCGATCTTATAAACACCATACTAGTACATGCATTCCTGAAATCGTGGCAGCAAAATGCGCTCAGCAGCCAGGGTCTTTTACCTGGCAGTGTTCGCCTTTTTGAGGCTTACCGATGCCCATGAGGATCAAGATCAACAGCGATATGACCACTCTGTCTGCGCAGTAAGCGGCTTTTACTACCGAGAATGCTTCTATGACTGTTTCTGACCATGTCATTTTCAAGATTGATCCCTCGGCCACCGTTTCCGACGCCTGTGTTTCTTACGTCACCATTGATTCCCTCAACGATCAGGTCTACAGCCTGCTCCAATCGATCACGCAAGAGACGGATTTCTTTTCATACTACCGCTTAAACTTATTCAACAAGCAATGCCCGTTTTGGGACGATGCCCACAGCATGTGCGGCAATATCGCATGTTCCGTCAACACAATAGAATCGGAAGAGGATATCCCGTTGACGTGGCGCGCGGAGGAGCTCAGCAAATTGGAAGGTCCCAAAGCAGGCCATCCAGGCCGCAAGCTTCAAAAGGAACGACCCAGTGACAAACCGCTTCAAGGCGAACTCGGCGCAAATGTCGGGGAAAGCTGTGTGGTCGAATACGACGACGAGTGCGATGAGCGCGATTACTGTGTACCGGAAGACGAAGGGGCCAGTGGTAAAGGGGACTACGTCAGTTTAGTAGACAATCCGGAACGATTTACGGGCTATGCAGGACCGGGAGCCCACCAGGTCTGGGACGCCATCTACCGGGAGAACTGTTTCCTGAAGTCGCTTCCGGAGACGGAGCTGTCTCCGCATCCACCTCTAGGAGGCTTGCAGGCCGTCAACGACTTCCGAAACGTGATGCAAATGGAGATGAAAAGGTCCGAGGGATTGCCGTTTGACAATGAGTGCCTTGAGAAGCGGGTCTTTCATCGCCTCATCAGCGGCATGCATGCGTCCATCTCGACCCATCTCTGCTGGGATTATCTCAACAAGACGACCGGACAGTGGCACCCCAACCTGCAATGCTTCAAAGAGCGTCTGCACGATCACCCAGAGCGCATTTCTAACCTGTACTTCAACTATGCGCTCGTCTCGCGGGCCGTGGCGAAGCTGCGGAAGCACCTTCAGAATTACACCTTCTGCACAAGCGATCCGCTTCAGGACACCGAAACCAAGAAGAAGGTGTCTCAGCTGACTGCGACCCTCGCTGATCGGCCGCAGATCTTTGATGAGAATATCATGTTCCAGGATCCAAGCGCACCCGGCTTGAAGGAAGAGTTCCGCAACCGCTTCAGAAACGTGAGCAGATTGATGGATTGTGTTGGCTGCGATAAATGCCGACTGTGGGGCAAGCTCCAGGTAAATGGATATGGAACGGCCCTGAAGGTGCTGTTCGACTACGACGAGACCAAGAATGGCGAAAATCCACCACTACGGCGAACTGAGCTAGTGGCGTTGATCAACACTCTGGGCCGCATTTCCCATAGTTTGGCTGCTGTACGAAGCTTTCATCGTGCCATGGATCTTGGACAGGGCCAGACTTTCGCTATCAACGCGGGAACGCCCTTGTTGAAAGAGCACCCTGGCGGTCAGAGATCGAGGGTCCTTTACAAGGATGGAGGATCAACTTTCTATTACGAAGACGACGAAGACGACTTCAAGTACGCAACGGAGAGATTACCATGGGAGAGAAGGCCCCATAAGGAATCGGATACTTTGTGGGACGATGCTAAGGCCGAATTCGAGGTGGTTTGGAACACATACGTCTACGTCCTGAAGAGCTGGTGGAATATGCCGAAAACTTTGTAAGCTTCTTCTAATCCCTGTCCATCTGGACGGTGACTGACCGCTGTTTCTGTGTTGCAGATGGGAAATCTTCGTTCTGGAAGCCAACCGGGCCTGGAGTTACTGGCTGGGTCTCCCTGTGCCCCCACGGTCGTGGAGAATCCAGCTTCCTCAACGACCCGAGATGCGCAGTCGTGACGAGTTATAGTCGATTCCAGAGTACTAGACCACTTATTTCGCAGCCATCGGCGGCTGCCGAACTGCATAGATATCGGGAGGTTTGATCTTGTTTCGCGGCGTCTAGTATAGTTGGCGTTGCATCTTGGGAGTTCTGGAGCGCCTGTATCATATGGGTATATTGAGTCAAATGGATTAGAAAGTTTCTTAATTGAATTGAAACACTCAGCTGTGGTTTGGTGTTGATAATGTAGGAGCGTATCGAGAACAGCTGAGAGGCACATGAACATCGTCATATATCAGAGTCAATTCTCTGAAAGACCATGATGAAGCACAGCAATAGTCACTGTGCAACTGATACATACAAATTGCTTCAGAAGATCAATAATCAACCTCATGATGATGAGGATCACCACGGCGTTCTCCGGCTCAGACTGAGTTTCTGTCGGCAAAAGCAGACAGCCTCGGCATCTGCGGCCACATGCACCGTGTAATTTTTGTCCTCTGTCCGACTGTCGGTTGCCCCCCGTCAAAGCCAAAGGGCTCCACCGCCGAACTCCAGGTCTTCCCCATCTTCGCTCGACCGTCTCGTGGTTCCCCTCTCTTCTTCGCATCAATCCCATCATCCTCACATCAATCTAGCAACTTGCCATCTAGTTTCTATCTCGTTACCTAATTTTCGGTTGGGGTCAAATGCGAGGCTGGTGAGAATTTCCCCTCTCCGGAACTCCATGGCGTCGGTTTCGCCACCTAAACCGTGGGAGAGAGCAGGCGGTGCTGCTAGCGGTAGGTGACTCGCTACTTTTGAACACTTATCATGTGCTGTCTCTATTATCGAGATTTTGGTCGCTGATGTTGTTGCTCCGCTTCACCAGGGACTGCGCTATCAGCGTCACCCGCCGGTAATTCGACCATGACTCAAACAGCTGGCGCTGCGACAGCGCCGACCGCTACAACCTCCTCACCCATAACCGCCTCAACAACATCATCCTCTAGTGCTCCCTCCTTACCCTCTCGCCCTGACACATTGAACTCCGTTGTAAACCGGACAGCGTCGAACTACTCGCCCTATGGCACATCGCGGTTTGGTACCACTCCGTATGGAACCGGGTATGGCGGGTATGGCGCATACTCATCGCCGTACTCGCGCTTCGGCACGATGGGCTCCATGTATGGAGGCTATGGTGGCTACGGGGGTATGTACGGTGGTATGGGAGGCATGTACGGTGCCGGCATGCCGGGCGACCCCAATGATCCCAACAGCTTGACGAATTCGTTCAGCCAGAGCACGCAGGCTACCTTTCAGATGATTGAGAGTATTGTGGGTGCATTTGGTGGGTTTGCTCAGATGCTGGAGAGTACATATATGGCGACTCATAGCTCCTTTTTCGGTATGTTCCCTGTCGTTAGTGGCTGTTTTTTTTGGACATGGAAATTAACTGCTTCGAAGCCATGGTCTCTGTTGCAGAGCAGTTTGGGAATCTGCGAAATACTCTTGGCTCCGCCTTGGGAATTTTTACAATAATCAGATGGTTCAGGACGTTGATTGCGAAGATTACGGGGCGACCCCCGCCGGCTGATGCTGCCTCCCTCACACCCTCTGCCTTTGCGGCCTTTATGCACGGGCGCTCGGCCCCTGCCACGCTCCCAGACGGCTCTCCTGCTCCGCCCAAGCCGTCGAAGAAGCCGTTTTTCATGTTCCTGATCGCCGTCTTCGGTCTTCCCTACTTGATGGGCAAGCTCATCAAGGCCCTCGCGCGCTCGCAGGAAGAGCAGCGTAAGCAGATGATGCTGGGACCAAATGGGGAACCCATGCAAGCGCCATTGGATCCATCGAAGCTTGACTTCTGCCGGCTTTTGTATGACTACACTCCGGAGTCCCAGGAAAGCGCCGGTATCGATCTGGCCGTTAAGAAGGGTGATATTGTCGCTGTTCTCAGCAAAACAGACCCCATGGGCAACGCATCCGAGTGGTGGCGCTGCCGTGCTCGGGACGGCCGTGTTGGCTACCTCCCAGGGCCCTACCTCGAAACCATTCAACGAAGACCTGCGCAGCAGGCCATCACCTCCAGCAGCGAAGCGGGCAGCCGTAGCAATACCATGACATCCGCCATTGAAAAGGCTCATGCCGGCGATGAGAAGAAGCCAGTCCTGAAGGGGAAAATGGGCGACATTTCGCCGGAGAGCTTTCAGAAGAGTGCATTCTACTCATAAGATGGGCCATTGACATTTTCGTCATCACCTTTTATTTTTATCACTCTAGACCATGAACAAAAGATATGGCGGGCATATCTTGTTCTGGCCCGACTTTATCACACTCTTCCCCCCAATCCTTGTCGATGCATCTGGGGTTTGTGACGGATCATGAGCTCCTGGGAGAATTGAACGACGACGCCAGGATACTATTGCTTTTGGGTACATTGGGACATGGATGTTTCTTTTCT